GACAGAGAAAAAATTAACAAATCACATTTGAACAATTTGATTACATGACCATTGCGATTGGTCAATCCTTTCTTCATCCGAGGTCTCGGACCGATTTCTAGCAACGTGGACACAAGGCTTAATACGTGCCCATCCCTGGAGAATAATAAAAACGAAATATGAAATCAAAACAAAAAAGCCCAACAGGGTTAACAAAAATTTTCTAGGGACTCTATATACATCGTGTTATCCCTTCCACCATGCATGCCCTGGAACGAAGCAGGCGCCCTCATCATCAGCGAGCCCGGTTTACGAATTACGGTTATGAGGTTATCATCCTCAGCATTGCGGACGTGAGAACTCAATATCGTTGTCACGTCACCGTTGTCGTCATCGTCGCCGCCGTCGCATCGGTCGCATCTTATTGTCTTATAAGCGATGGAGTGCGAATAATCCTCGGCGACGATGCTGCGTAATGTCGATCGCTCTTCTCCACAGTCGGTTACCAATTACAGCTCGCGTCGAAGTCTAACTAGTGCCCGCCAGGCACGGTACCGCGGAACGTCAGCTGCGTCGTTCTTGCCGTCGTCGCCGCCACCACTCCGCCGCGTATGATTCGTAAGGACCGAGCTCAGGGTTGCCTTCAGGTACGGCGGCAACGCGTCTCTCTCTCTCTCTCTCTCGTGTCTCTCCTCTAGAATAGTTTAAAATCTGCTCCGGAAACGGAGCTTCGGAAATTGAGCACTCTACACGATCTCTGTTTTACCTGGTCCAGAGGATTAATAGGATTTAAGACATTGTCTGAGATTTCGGATGAGCGCCGCGCAAATCTGGGGGAAATTGCAGAGTGATTACGCTCCCGCAGCGAGAATTTGCACAAAATTATGTGTACCAATGATGTTCCTAACAGTACATGACGTACGAACTGTGACAGAACGTGACAGTTTCTGATTATTCGAGCACATGGGTATGAAACTATATCGTAGTATTATTGTTTCACAGTGCGTAAAATTGCTAAATATTTTATTATTGATAATTGTTTAAAATAATGATTGTAGATAGTTCTGTATATATATATATATCTTATATGTATCTTTTTCAAAGTAGAATTAATATTTTAATAAATGTGATTATTATTGACTATTTTTGCAACAAGAAATTTTGTTGTAAACTATTGTTATTTTTATTTTTAAAATGTATGTATTATAGAAAGATATAATCTTTCTAATTAGAAAAAAGAAAATTTTAATATCTTGTAAAATGAAGAATTATGTCTTCCTATTCATCTTTCATTGGTATATTAATTTAATGTCTTTTATAAAATGTGAGCTGTGTGTGTGTGTGTGTGTGTGTGTGTGTGTGTGTGTGTGTGTGTGTGTGTGTGTGTGTGTGTGTGTGTGTGTGATGTTATTAATTATTGTCAGTTTAAAATAATAATTTTAGATAATTCTGTATCTTGTATGTATCTTTTAAAAAATTAACGTTTTAGTAAATGTGATTATTATTAACTATATTTGCAACAAAAAGTTTTGTAAACTATTATTTTCATTTGTAAAACGTATATATTGTAAAAAGATATAATTTTACTAAAAGAAAACAAATTTTGATATCTTGTAAAACAAAAGATTATGCCTTCCTAAGTTTCATTGATACATTAATTAATTTATTATATTAAAAAAATAGGCTGTGTTATTCAAGGATTATGATGTAATATTTTTATTAAAGGGACAAAAGCCAAATTTTATATATTCGGAGATGTTGGAAGTTGGTTTGCGAGTTGTCCGTGGCCAAGACTGGAAATGGGACGATCAAGATGGTGGAGAGGGTCACGCTGGGACAATAGTGGAAATCGGTAGACCTCCCTCCACAGGGAACTCAACCTCTAGTCCAAATCCCACCGATCGGACGCCAGACAAGACAGTCATCGTTCAATGGGATCATGGCGCTAGGAGTAATTATAGAATCGGCTATCAGGGTGCTTATGATTTGTTGGTGTTTGATAATGCGGCGGCTGGCGTTAAGCACTCCAACATTATCTGTGATGGTTGCAAAAGACATGGGATAATTGGTATCAGATGGAAGTGCACAGAGTGTTTTGACTACGATCTCTGCACACAGTGTTACATGGCCGATGTACATGAGTTAACTCACACTTTTGAGAGATATCAAACAGCAAATTCTGTAGGGTAAGCGTTCTCAAGTCTAATGAAATTTGTATTCCTCATCCTGACTACCTATAATAATAATATAATTACAATTACGTTGAGCGCAGAGTTCGTCTGGAGTCAAGAGAAGGCTGCACAAAGATACCTTTGAAAGGAATCTTCATAGGAGCAAAAGTCATTCGCGGACCAGATTGGGAATGGGGAAATCAGGATGGTGGACGTGGTATTTACATTTTATTTAAATTAATTGAATTATATGAATTAATTGAATTAATTATATAATATCATGAATTATATATATACATAATCACCATCTAATTTCCTTCAAATATTTCAGGGAAAACCGGCAGAGTCATGGACATACGTGGATGGGACAACGAAAGCAGTCGGTCCGTCGCAACCGTCACGTGGTCCACGGGTAGCACTAACGTGTATCGATTAGGTTTCAAAGGTTGCGTGGACCTGTGTTACATGGAGGAGGCTAATGCTGGCACTTACTACAAGGAACATCTTCCGTTACTCGGCCAACCGGTCTTGACCGTACCGGATAATGGAAACGGCACAACACCGATAAGGAGCGGTGTCACAAACATCACGTCTAGTCCCCATCCTCTAATGTTTAACGTCGGTGACAAGGTGAAAGTGTTAATAGAGGTCGATACGTTAAAGGAGATGCAAGACGGTCATGGCGGATGGAATCCGCGTATGGCCGAATACATAGGAAAGGTATTTCGTAAAAATAATCATTTACAATCGTTAACATTAATTAATGTCAATTGCAGTTTAAATCTTGCGATACACGATGCATTTTTTCTGCTTTAGTAAATTACTAGAAATTTTACGTTCTATGTGATACAATTGTAGTAATTTGCTCTAAAACGCAAGCAATTCAGTGAGAGAAAATGCATCGTGTGCCGCTGGCTTAATTTTAAATTTCTTGGATCTTCCCCCCCCCCAATTAGCAGTTGTTATTGAGAGATACGGTTAAATATTTAATTAATACACACATGTCAATACGTTTAACATATTTAATATGAGATGTGCATGTGTAACTTAACTTTCTAACTTGAAATCTAGATTGGTACGGTACATCGAATTACGGACAAGGGAGATATTCGCGTGCAGTACGAAGGCTGCCACAATAGGTGGACTTTCCACCCAGGTGCTCTGACGAAAGTTACCGCCAAGGATGGATTCTCTCTTGGTGATATAGTCCGCGTGAAAAGCGATCTAGCTGCCGTGAAACAATATCAACGTGGCCATGGTGAATGGATAGACGTCATGAAAAATGTTAGTTGGCAATTTATATGCTTGATTTTAATTTAGTACGGCTATATATGGAAGTGACAGATGTTTAATATCAGATTTATACTTGTCGCAGGCTCTAGGGAAGACTGGGAAGATAATCAAAATCTATTCCGATGGCGACTTACGTGTGGCGTTGGACATACATGGTCATACATGGACATTTAATCCGCTAAGTGTTGTCCCGGTATCTTCTGGCACAAATGCTATGGCTGCCACGCACGATAATGCAAACAAGAGTAGAGATCGTTCGGGTATGTTTATTATATACATGAATTTTTGTTAATAATAGAATGAAAAAAGGTATCAAATTTAAAATTAAATTGATATCAAAGGAAGATTAATTTTAATTATGCTGTGTGTTAAACAAGACCATCCGTTATAATTTATTCTCGTAGTCGACGGTACCGACAGTGAAGTGGAAAAGCTATTAAGGGATGCGGCTAGAGGTGAAGCTGGAGTGGACGCAGTACGGGAATTCCTCAAGAAATACCCTGGCAGAGTGGACGCGTGTGCTCCTGGCGGTGGCAGAAAAACGTGCTTGCAAGTGGCCGCTCACCAAGGTCAGCGTGAGCTCTGCACTCTCCTTCTGGATGCTGGTGCTTCTTTGCGTGCGGTCGATGAGGACGGAGATATGCCTTTGCATTATGCGGCATTCGGGTATGTTGGAAATCGTTGCCGCATTTTTCGCAAAATTAACTATATTGTTTTCTCTTTTGATTAAACAGAAATCAACCAGAGATAATGGATCTATTATTATCGCGAGGTGCAGCTATCAATGCCGTTAATAACGGCAGATGTAGTGCTTTGCATGTGGCAGTTAATAAGCAACATGTGCAATGCGTGAAAGTTCTACTGCGTTATCATTGTGACGTCAACCTTCAAGACTCGTATGGCGATACAGCGTTGCACGACGCGATAGGAAAGGATGCGCTAGATGTGATCGACGCGTTATGCGCCTGCGAGAGGGTTGACTTCACGTTGAGGAACAAACGGGGTTTCAATATCTTGCATCATGCCGCACTCAAGGGCAATGCTCAGTATGTATATAAGATACTTAACAAGTATAATCTCATAGCGGTCATGTCTGCATAGTAATAGCTTGGCCGTACTTAAGATTCATCTGATTCATCTAATTTAAATATAAATAAAGTGCCTATATATTATCTAATTCAATAATATGAGTAATAAGGCTTAATAAATTATAAATTACTATAACATTAGAGGGCTACGAGCCAAAAATTAAAATATAACGTTATTAATGGTAATAAGGATATAAATATATTTAACGCAAGTTTAGCATATAATTAATCGCAACAATAAAAACAGAACAATAAATCAAAAATATAAAAAAATATATATAATATCATACGTTTCAACCTCGATCGGGTCATTCTCATTGTTTTAATACAAGAGTTCGTCGAGTCAGAGAAAACAAAGAATTTGATTTCGCATGTTAATATATCCGAATTACACTGTGGTATTCCATAAAAATGAATGTTCATCAGATCTTGAGAAAATCAAATATCGAAAGTTCCATTGTAACAATATGTGTGTAACCACACGTATTGTTTCTATAAATTAGTTGCAAATTATAATAGATATAATATCTCATATAGATACTGCATTATAAAATTAATTACAATTAAAATATACCACAATCACAGAGATATTATATTAAAACATTAAATTTCGTACAATAAATAAAATACCTTCATATTGATGGTCTCATTTACAAATTACAATCCAATTTTTTTGAAACTATTATAAACAATAACGATCGGAATTAAATTTGTTGTTAACACGTCAATGCCTTCAGTCGTTATGACATTCAAAGAAACATATAAGATATTGTTAAACGGACAATATTTTAAAAACATGGAGGGGAGAAAAATGTATTAGAAGAAGGAGATATGTGAGAGAGAAGGAGAATAGTTAAGAGAGGGACGTGATCGTGACGGGGAAAATGATTCTATTATCTGTAGGTATGATTCTGGTAAAGCTTCCGTATCATTTTGTCTATTAATGCCTTGTCTTTGCATTTTTATATGTATTATTTCAGATATCAATCTTTTATTATAAGAAGCCTCTTTATCCAAAATTTCGACTTCATTCCATTTAAATTTATGGTTTGAATTCATGCGATGATCTGATATAACGGATGGTGAACCCGTTCTTTTAGTGATGTCTGAAACGTGTTCATGTAATCTTGTACTTAATTTACGTTTGGTTTGGCCAACATAACTGGCCTCACAATCCTCACATGAGATTTTATATACCACATCTTGGTTGGACAAATGTTCAAGATTGTCTTTTTCTCACTTAATAAAACTTTTCAGTGTATTGGGAATAGAATATGCTAATTTGCAATTAAATTTAGTTAAAATTGGTAAAAAACTTTCTGATATAGATTTAACATATGATATTGAAAAAAATTTTTATTTTAAATTGATTTTATGTGTAAGATTATTATTATGAATGTGGTATTTTATTCTATTTTTTTTTGTTAATAGTAGAGAAAATAAGAGATACAGGATAGCCATTATTAAGAAATATTTGAATAGTATCAATTACATTTTTTTGATGAAAGCGAGGATGAGACAAACGAATAATTTTATCCACCATGCTAATGATAATGCCTTTCTTGTGACAAAGTGAGTGATTAGAGTGAAAATTTAAAAATCTGCCAGAAAATATTGCTTTATGATAAGTATCGAATATAATTCTTTAATCCTTAATAATAACTCGTGTATTTAGAAAATTTAAACCATTTTCACTACCAACTTCCATAGTAAATTGCAGTCTGCTATGCAAAGAATTAAATATATTTAAAGTGTCATTAATACTATCAGATGGAAGTACCAAGATAATATCATCAACATATCTGTAATAGAATAATGGTTGTATGAGTAATTTATTAATTGCTGACTCTTCCAAATCTTGCATTACCATGTCAGCAATTATTGGCGACATAGGCTTCTTATAATAAAAGATTGATATCTGAAATAATACATATAAAAATGCAAAAACAAGGCATTAATAGACAAAATGATACGGAAGCTTTACCAGAATCATACCTACAGATAATAGAATCACTTTCCTCGTCATAATCACGTCCCCCTCTTAACTATTCTCCTTCTCTCTCACATATCTCCTTCTTCTAATACATTTTTCTCCCTTCCATGTTTTTAAAAAATTGTCCGTTTAACAATATCTTATATGTTTCTTTGAATGTCATAACGACTGAAGGCATTGACGTGTTAACAACAAATTTAATTCCGATCGTTATTGTTTATAATAGTTTCAAAAAAATTGGATTGTAATTTGTAAATGAGACCATCAATATGAAGGTATTTTATTTATTGTACGAAATTTAATGTTTTAATATAATATCTCTGTGATTGTGGTATATTTTAATTGTAATTAATTTTATAATGCAGTATCTATATAAGATATTATATCTATTATAATTTGCAACTAATTTATAGAAACAATACGTGTGGTTACACACATATTGTTACAATGGAACTTTCGATATTTGATTTTCTCAAGATCTGATAAACATTCATTTTTATAGAATACCACAGTGTAATCCGGATATATTAACATGCAAAATCAAATTCTTTGTTTTCTCTGACTCGACGAACTCTTGCATTAAAACAATGAGAATGACCCGATCGAGGTTGAAACGTATGATATATATATATTTTTATATTTTTCATTTATTGTTCTGTTTTTATTGTTGCGATTAATTATACGCTAAACTTGCGTTAAATATATTTATATCCTCATTACCATTAATAACGTTATATTTTAATTTTTGGTTTGTAGCCCTCTAATGTTATAGTAATTTATCTAATTCACTTTGTGAACCTATAAATTTGCAGTGCAACGGAGAGGCTGGTTGCGCGGGCGCGTCACTTGGTAGACGTGAAAAAGGAAGATGGATTTGCAGCATTGCATCTAGCGGCGTTGAACGGACACAAGGAAGTTGCGGCCATCCTTCTCTCGCAGAATGGTGGCCGCGCCAAAGTGGATCTGTGCAACAATCGGCGGCAAACGCCGTTGCATTTAGCAACTTCGCAGGGACATTGGTCGCTGGTTGAGCTGCTGGTGCATCACAATGCGGATATCGGCAGCACGGATGAGGACGGCGACACTGTATTACATATCGCGATAGCAAAGAGCCCGAATCAACAGACTGCTGTGCCTACACCCGAAAGTAGCCGGGATTCACCACTTTTGTATGCTGTATGTTTAATAGCGTTTTCGGCCCGATCGGGTTTGCACCAACCTTGGTTGGATTAATCTTTCCTATTGGTTGACGTCACACACTCTACCAATAGGAGAGCGCAAAACGCCATTAATCCAACCCAGGTTGGTGCAAACCCGGCCGGGCCGAAAACGCTATATGTTCTTGCTTTTGAATTTATCTTTTGTATCTTTCTCTCTCTCTCCCCCTCTCCCCCCCTCCTCTCTCTCTCTTGGAAGACATAGATGTACGATCATAACTTTTCGCAATGCATCATTTTTTTTTAACTTCAATAAAAGATCTAAGATTGTTTTAATTCATAAAACAATACCAAATTGTGATTCATTTTCAAGAAAATTATTAAGTTTTTAAATATAAGACAGCACAACACTCTCCTTCTCTTCTTCTCCTAGGCGGAGAAGTCACTCCTCTTTCTTTCTCTCTTACTCCTCTAAGAAGAAAGTTAAAAGGGAATGATGCATTGCAAAAAGTTGAGACATTGTAAAACAGAGGTAATTAAATAAAGTTTCTCCATTATTTTTGCAATGTAGTTTCTATTTACGTTTTTTATGAAATGTAATTGAAACTTTTAGAATTATTACGTATATCTACATTTATAATTTGAGAAAAGAAAGGATAACTTATCAGTTCAGCAGTCTTTTCCAACGAATATTTTCTTCTTTCGAACAGATCTGGCAGAACCTGGCAAGGCAAGGCGCAAAGACTGAATTAGCATTAGCTTGTTTTTTGGTAAGCGTGGACAGAAGTTGTAAACTCCTTGAGCAAGTCAGAAACAACAAGGACAAGACGGCACTTGATCTTTTGGAAAGCAATCCACAGGCTACCATGCTTGCTGATCTTTTACGCTCTTACAAATACCAAAGTCACAGCACGCAATTAGAGTAAGACAAGATACGAGTGTTCTAAATGATCCGCAAGTCGAAATGTAAATTTTGACTGAAATGTAACTTTAAATTGATTTTACGTTTTGAAAACTGATCTTGCAATACGCTTTTGAAATCACTTAATTGATTTAGAGTTTATCAACAAACGTATGGAAAATGTAATTCGTCTTGCAGAATAGAGAACAATCCATCGCCTGGTTATGTAGAGCCACCTGTATACCGGATAGATAATATATCGCAGTCGGAAGGATTGCACGTTGCGAAGAAGAATATAATCGGTTCCGGTGACGCGGCAGAGTGTCGGGATTGCTCGGGGATCATAGGAAACACAAAACAGGAGAATCGAATTGATCCTAGCAGTAGCGTTACGCTGGTTGGTTGTGCACGTTGTGGCCATACGCAAACAATTCCAGGTACGTAATTTTTTTATCTCATTTAAATTGATTAAATTGATCAAGAAATCTTGGTGAAATTGATCTTAAGGAATTATTAAGTATTTTCTGTATCAGCAAAATATTCTGCATAACAAATTACAATTATAAGGAATCATGTGGAAATCATACGAATATGTTTTATATTATTTTTACATATTTTTCTAGATGGTCAGTTGGCGACAGGTGAAGTCTCTATAGCCAATTCGGAGGATAAATCGAAAGACGTATCTTCAGAAGGCAAACGAAAAAAGGAGATCAATGACAAGGAAAAAGAGAAGGATAAAGATCTAGAACGGCTACGTTATTTGGAGACTAGAGTCGCAGATCTCGAGGAGGCGAATATGTGTAGCATCTGTATGGAACGTCGTCGTAATGTCGCGTTTCTTTGCGGGCATGGCGCGTGTGAGCATTGCGCCGCTCCGTTGAAGACTTGTCACATGTGCCGCAAGACGATCACAAAAAAGATTAATTTGTATTAGAAGTTCGATCAATCACTATACGTTTATGTCGGAACATTGATTTCCACGTGGTGTACAGCATGTGTCACGAGAGGAAAAGTCGGTATCAGTGATAATAATAGAACAGTCCTTAATGTCCAAATTTAAACAATTTAGATTACGCAACTCAGAACGAGAGACAAGAGGAATTTCTTTACTCGCTATGTCGCACGGTTCCTCTCGAGACATTCTGTTTGCCCAACAGAAAATTTTGTCGTTCGCCATGTCGGCGTAGGAAAATGTTCACCAATTGATCGTAACGATGCGTACATTACGTCTTGCGCTGATGAAATTAAACTGCCAAAATGTACATTTTATTTCCGCGAACAGTTTGTACGAAAGAAAAAAAATGAAGCTCTCTTATATTGCACTAACGTCGTGCCATAGCGAGATAGGTTTGCGCACAACACGATAATTGTGTTTGTCTGGATACGAGATATTTTGATGTTTTATTTTTTTTATTTTTCTCGGTAATTAGTTAAGTCGGTTATATTAAAAATTAATTAATACCAGTACCGAGGAAGGGGGGGGGGGTTGTCTTGTGTCCCGACGAACACGCACGACGTACGATTGTATGTACATCGTTTACGCTTTCCTTCCTTATGAATCGGCGTTTTCGCCCGTGCTTTATCCCGTCCATTTTTTATTCATGTTTAAAGAGAGCGCGGATGACGAGCACTGAAAGAGCGAACTTCTTACCTTAACGTAGGAAACATGCAAAATCGTGTTTATGGGATAACAATCATCAGAAGCTCGTAGAGACATTCGTACATATCGCTACATTATTGCGAGAAGAAAAAAGAATACTGTTTCCATGTGTTCGAAAATTGTGCGAATTCCTGTTGCTTCCGCGTAGTAAAAGGGAAGGGAGCACATTTAGATAGTAAAATTTTTTAGACTTTTTAAAATAGATTTTTACTGAAAAACCTTGGTTAAGTTTCAGCCATTTTTGAAAATATGTTAATAGTATAACTTGAAATTTTGTTACTTGGTACGTGGCAAGACTCGATATTTGATACGAATTAAATATTATCATGAAGGAATGTTTTCGATGTTTCAAAGAAATGTTTTGTTAAAAATGACAAAAGTATCTTTTGATACTTAGTATTCAAATTGTGGGAATCTGATGCGGCGTTTAATGTATCCCCTTTTCTCCGATTATGTTCGCATCGTTCGATAAACGTTCTGCGTAACGAACAACACATGCTAAAGGGAAACATACAGTCTTATAGCCAAGTTTTCTAGGTAGAATAATTGTACTCGTTTGTATAAAGTGATTCATTTGTGATCGAATGCGACAGCAGTGGAACCAATTAATTTTAAGCGCGCTTCCCGTCATGAACGCACTTTCAAGTAAAAGAAAAGCAATGCGTTCGCATGTAATAAAGAAGCCGACAATTATCGAGGTACAAGCTTAATTATTAACGCGAGGATCTATTTTTTGGTGATTCTCAAATTACCGGAGATAGAAACTCTATGGATGTGTGATTTCTGAAAGAATTTTTTTCCATCAGTATTAAAGTCTTGCCTTTCTACTCAACACAACGAAAAAAAACTTGTACTCGAGGTGCGTAAAAAGTTGTATGTAACACGAGTCGCGTAAGTGTACCTCGGAGCGTATTAGAGGATGTCTGATCAATCGATTTTTACGTCGGTTAGCGTAATTTCTACACTGGTGACTGGAGAAATCGAAAATTATTTTTATGGGTTATTGTGCACTGAGGCGAGAGCGGTCCTTTCAGGATAACACATCGCGAACTTTACGTTCACGATGAGAAACGTACAATTTGCGATAGTGTCAATTTCGTCAGGATAATATTAATTTTCTTCCTTCTTCACCCCTCTTTTTCTCCTTTTTTTATAATAATAGCCATATTGTCGTTTTAGATATATGCGGCGTAGATATTACGAAAGATGTTATATTACGATAAAACTACAGCGTAAATCTTAAGCGTCGATAAATTTCTACAATTGTAATTTAAGGCATAATTTAAATAAACAATTTGACGGTAAATAAACTTTAATCTAATTTAATGTGCCCTTCAAATACGTTTTTTTTCCTTTAAACTTTATGGAATAATGCGAGAGCTTTCTCTCTCACACTGCTTATTAAGTGTTATTGATAAAAATTATAATATTATAGATACGAACAAGACACGAAGCGGTAACAAGAACAAACTCATATAATGTAGACACCAGATATCTCATGCAGTCAAACGAAAAGCGCAAAATAAACTTGTCCTTAACTTAGCAAGCAATCTTATTTATTTTGGTACTCGATAAAGATTCCGATAGTCGTATATTACAATATTGAGCCAGTTTTGCAAAAATTGTAATAGCGATATACTAATGATATATAATAATGTAATAATGGTAATAATATTTTCTTCTCCTAAAGTAAACCTAAACGCAATGTATTCTATTAATAGTATGTGACACTGTGTATTATCTGTAGTACCTAATTAACTTAAACTTAAATCGTAGGGCCGTAGCATAACGTGCAAAACGATCACGTAATGCATTTCATCCGTGTTAAGACCGCTCTTACACCACTTTCTTCGATTCGCGTGGATCTTATCCTCTTCCATATCGTCTCTTCGAAGAATAATGTGAGATCCTGATAAAGGGTAACCAAGCATCAAGATATGACTTATGATTAAGAAATATTTCATCATGTGTTGTATGCTCCATAAGAACTAAACATGCATTTCCAACTCGATATTAAATCGCTTTGCGCCTCACTTAGATACATGATTTTCCCTATTTTTGGATCTATATATTACATACAACGTAAAAAATAATCTTTCATTTCTTTTGTTTCTTTCTTCCATTTCTTCATCCCTTTTATTATCATTTTCCTTTTACTATTTTTTTTTTCAGTAGTTCATAAACGCGATCAAGTTAAAATGATATATTTACGAAAATAAATAATACAGATTTCTCTGGAACATTGATTGAATGATACATATCGAAGAAGGAATAAACGCATAAGAAAGATATTAAATAAAACGATATTTTTGTGTTTCGTCAAATTGGAAAGACAATCGAATATAGAAAACACAAATCTTCGTTTTGTTCACTTTACTCTCATTTAGATCTTATTCTTTTGCATTGTTACTTTACATTTCCTACGTAAACGAGTAAAGTGTACAATACGTTATCAATATACAAACATTACTAATTGACGAAATCACCTAAGATTTTTAAATGGAAAATACTCCAACGCGTACATCATTATTAACGCGTATGCGTTAGTGTAATTTTAATTCGAAGAAGACGTTGGAAAGTGCACTTGCTACTTATAAAAACAAATTACGATAGTTCATATCAATCAGGACGCGAAATACAACTTTGCACTAATTTCGTCGCGCGCGAGTTACCGTAACATTTCTTTTTTTTTCTTATTTCAAGAATAATAGCGGTTTCATGTAAAGTGCACAGCAAAACGCGAGATTTACCGTTGCTTCTCTCGCAACTTCTACGAGTAATCAAAGTTCTATTCGCATCTACGTATAAGACTTCAAGTGCCCGATAGCGAAAGAATTGTCAAGAGAGAGCGTAGTAAACGCGCACAGACGAAACTATGGCGATCCTGCCTCCCATTTCTTTCCTTGAACGCGTGCAGCGTATTTATCGGCGAGTTTTACTTCTAACAGGAAGTTCCTTAACAGGATTCCTTAATAGGTAGCCTTAATAAGAGCTTTTGTTCTCTATTTCTCTCTCTCTCTCATTCTCTCAATCTCTCCCTTTCTCTCTCTCTTTCAGAATGATTCATCGACTTCCCGATGTCGATGTATAGATACGTAAAACCGTCACACTGATTCATTCGCCGAGCGTAATTATTGTCAACTACGATCAAGTCCTGAGTCCGGCCAAACACTGCGAGATCACCGTTTTATTAATGTTGGGAAACGATAGTCATAGGATACCCAGTATTGGGGTGATCCCGATTGATCACGGCTCGATTGGACACCACCAATCACAGCGACCGGTGCTTAGGAGCTTTGTAATCTCAAGCGCTGTGAGTGGCTCGTGTCCAATTGAGCCGTGTCCAACTGGGTGCCACCCCCCAGTATTTCGTTATTCTAAATACATACAATATAATGACAATATAATGATATATATATATATATATATAATATATGTATGTATAATATACATTTTATTATAGCGGTAACACTATATATTGCCTAATATATAGCTATAACTCCACGCACGATCATTTTTCTAGACGTCCAAAATGCCCCATTGCGCCCCTACAATGTTTCACATGTCATCACGGGAAACATTTATGTGATGATGGTAATGCGTTGTCATTGTACACTGATGATAATAATAAGCAAACGCGATTGAATTAAAATGATGGTCCATGGATGAGTTGTAAGTGATTTTTTGTGGAATAACTCTAATGCAATGCATGTTATATCGCAAAAAGATTCCGATCTAAAAAAAACTAAAAAGGTAGAAAAAAGAAATTCTTGGACTCCTATTTTTGAAAAGAAACGTATACGAAAAACTTGAGAAATAGTATAGTATATTATAATAATTTACGTATATTGTAATAATTTCCTAGTTTTTCGTATATAAACGTTTTTTTTTTTAAATAGGATCTTAATACCATCATACTCCAAAGACAAAAAAGATATTAAAAAATGTTATTCAAAGAATAGTTTCGAGTGCTATACAAAAAAGAAAGGATGTTCGATTGGAATTCATCTTCCGATTCATCAGCTAGTGAATCCTCGCAGATTACGTCTATTTGCATAAAGTAACGCAAATCGGAGAAAGCGAGACACTTGCATAATACGGAGAGAAACTCAGTGGATTCACGGTAATGATCGAGACCGTGTACGGGGTATCAACGAGAATGAGTGTCGAATCAAATGTTTAAAACGTTTTGCAGCGTTTGGTTGCGCGGAACGAGAGTTATAAGGAACGAGTGTAACTGCGCGATAGAACACGTTCGACTCTGCATTTTCTTCCTTCGGAATAAATCAGTGCGATAGGTAGAAACGAAAACGGACAATCATACTTTATGTATACGAATATAGAAGATATTACTGTGCCGTGAATTGACTGTTA